ATTTTAGTAATTATAATATTCAGCTTAATATTTCACCAAATATTTACTTATTTTGTTCTTAAAATATCGTAGTTTTCTACCCACAATAAATATTCCGAAAATTATTAAAAACAGGGTTCTACTATATCTCATCATTCTACTCTAGAAGAACTACCTAAACTTCGTTATACATGGCGACCATAAAAAACACATATTTCTACTAAACTTAGCCCAACTAGATGCCTAAAGGACCCGGCACTTTTTACCTGAGTTCGAGATTTGTGTATTATTATACGTAGATCTCCACTAATCAAAACATAATAGTTTAGTGGAAAACGTTGTGTGTCAATGTGTTCATTTTACTTATTTTTTTGTTTTAAATTTTTGGTGTCTTTCACCTGAGAAAGATATTTTAATTATTCTGATGTTATTTTTTTCCGTTTTTGTATGTATTTTGTATTAAAATAAGATATTTTTAGCCATTTTGAAACCATACACTGCGGAAGCTCACGATGTTTAAACTTTTTGGATACGTACGCTACTATATATCCTCTCAAAAATCCCCCACCTCCTTTAAGCTCCATCGATATTTACGCTCTGTACGGTACAATAGTTATACCCAAGAGGTACTTATATTAAACTCACTACACTTTATGATATACATAGCAATTACTATACATAATGTACTTACACTCATACCACTTCATTGTGTTTGAAGTAATGGGGAGTACTTACTATAACTTATTACACATGATATACATACAATGCGATGCTTATTATACATTGAAAGTTTCTTACTATGCAATTAGACTCAGTACAGTGGGTTCAGAATTGGGAAGTACTTGTTAACTAAATCCCCCACTTTTTCCAAGTTCCTGCCTCGATATTCATGCCGTGTATGCTTGCGACCGGCCGGTTCCTCTAATCATGGTGGTCGAGAGTCAAGGATGTGCGGACTTCATCCCCCATTTATGTCTATTATTTAGAATGTACTTAGGAAACAAAATGCTATATATGCTACAATAGTAATAACCAAGAGCTACTTAAATTACTCATTACACTTCATGACATGCATAGAAATTACTATATATACAAGGTAGCTACACTCATTACATTTCAATGTGTATGGGGCGATGAGAGGTACTTATGATATTCATTACACATGGTGTATAGGGTATCTGAAAAGTACTTACTATGCAACTCATATTCATAATATACAAGCCTGAGAGGTACCCGCTAATTTTGTGAAGAATGGGGAACTATCCCTTCCACCGATGTTTACGTCTTGCGCGTCTGCTGGAGACTAGCGCTTCACTATAGCTATGACGGTTGAGAGTCAAGGATGTGTTTAGGTATGCTCCGACGTATTTTCCCTATGCTACAATAGTAATCATTGAGATGTACTTAGACTTAACTCATTACACTATATCCTATACCTAGTAATTACTATCTAAGAGGTACTTACTATGCTCGTTACATGCTACCCGATATACATAGTAAATACTTACATCTATATATGTATGAAGTAATTACACCCATTACACTATGCATACCCTGTGGCTAATTGGGAGGTACTTATTATGCAATTACAATCATTACAGTATGGCGTGTACATGCAATTGCATTTATTTACAGTACATTATGTAATTGGGAGGTACTTGTTAATTGCGCGTCTATCTCTGGCGCAGGCTACCCCTTCTTAGTCCCTTACCTCGATATTTCGGTTAAGCACGACCGTCTCTAACGCAGGCTAAGCACTCTAGGCACGACGGCCGAGAGTTAAGGACGTGCTGCCAACAGTAATCACTAGGAGGCACTTAGATAACATTCATTACACTACATTGCATACCGTCATTACTGCCTAAGGTGTACTTACACTTTAATATGTATGGAGTAATGAGATGTATAGATGTATAGACTCTTTCGCGACTTTTTACTTCACTGTAGGTTAAACAAGAAGCCTGTCACAGTACAACATGTTCAATTTGGGAAGACATTTCAAGTTAAAAAATACGTGTGGCACTCGGGGACTGCCGCGGTAGAGCTATTGCATAGCATTTTTTATCAACTTATGCAATTATAATTATTTATTTATTTTATTTATGCAGTATTTTTTTCTTTGATATTAATTCAAGTTACACTTTTTGAGCGTGGTGACCGATAAGAAAACAATTTTTTTTCTTTTATTGAATAAATGAGAAGTTAATATTGTTTAAAATATTTTTATTATCTTACAATACATGTAGGTTATTCAGGAATTTTTATCATTGAAACTATAGGTTTATGGTAACTGAAATAAGAAACATAAGTTTGAGACTTGATATCCTCTAAATATCTGGAAAATACCGCGTCAATGGTGGTCCCATATTTTGTTGTGGATTCTTGTGCATCATTATTCATTTTCAAATTCAATTTTTCCGAAATTGTGTCTAAAAGAGATAGAATCAGTTATGAGCAGTTAGCAGCTAGTCTACACGCATTCGTTTAGTCGCACTCACACAAACACCGTGCCGAAGTCTACCGAACTGAAACGACGTTAGACGATGCACGGCTTTCAACGCCGCACCGTTGTGCCGGTCGGAGTGAGGGGTGTTAGGTTTATTTTCTTTTTCGATTTTTCGGTTTTTCGATTTTCTTTTATTGAATAAATGAGAAGTTAATATTGTTTAACGCCGCACCGCTGTGCCGGTTGGAGTGGGGGGTGTTAGGTTTATTTTCGTTACGGAATTTCTTGATTCGGTCGCCGCGCTCAAAGCCCGCGATAAAAGCTATGCAATAGCTTAAAAATGTTCAGGGAATTCTACTAAACCGTGTTCTTTGTTAGCCAAATGTTTAAAACCGAATTAAAAAATTAATGCATTTTTATTAAAAACTATTGAGGTGTCCGTTTTTCGTGCCGGTGAGTGTAGTTCGTGGTGTCAGGTTAACGCAGTTATTAAACATAGTAATGGATTTGGGTTTATTGTTATTAGGGGGTAATAAACCACAATAATAAATATGGCAGATTTGCAGATGCTTTATGGAATACGAAAAATTGATACTTGCTTCTGGCATCTATAAGTCCGTCATATATGCAGATCTGCAAAATTGTAGGCTTGTTTTTTCTGTAATCTCGCCCTAGAGCTTCAGTATCCATTTAAAATATAGTACGATATAAGAATCGCCTCTACCCTCGCAGCTTCACTATATTTGTACCCTAACACATTTAATTTTGCATCATTTTTATTTATTTTGATCACTATTAGCCGGTTGCAAGATCATTTTTTTAAATGTATGAGCCTGCTAAAGTTGGACAGAACTTGTTAATGTCTAAACATCTATCAAAATTTATCAGACAAGTAAATGTGAATGAAGGTTCTTGCAATGAGCTGTGTATGTTATAATAGACAATTGTTTTGCAATAACTTTTGTATTCTAAACATTTAAGTGGATAAACGAGATTTGTACATTTTGGGACATTGAAAATTAGTAAGCACTTTTTTGCAATTACTTTTTTGGCGCAAAATGTAAGTTTTATTTTTTTTAAATCTATTAACCAACAGTTATGTTTGATTTTTTTGAATTTGCTTTTGCTCACCAAGATTTGTAACTAACGTACTTTGTTAAATATATAAACAATCTCTTTATTGGTTTTTTATTAAACTGCTACCTGCCTAAGACCTATTCACTTGTTAAAATAAAACAATTTAGTTTGTAAAGTAAACATCTATTAAAAAAAGAATTTAGCACTTATTCGCTTGACAAAATACAAAAAAATCTCACATAACGACGGTCTCAAATGAATACCTTGTCAGTGGCGGCTCGTGGGGGTGTTCACAGTGACCAAAATATAGGTATCAGTACAGATGTATGAAAAACTTTTGAGTGTTTTGGAAAGTTTATAATATACCTTTCTAAAACACTGACAGTTTTTTTACCTATATCTGTACGGGGATTTATATTCTGCTACTGTGAACCCCCAAAATTTTGGTCAAGAGCCGCCCCTGCCTTGTATGTCCAAATTAAACATTTAGAAGAGGAATATTAAACTGTCTTGATTGCTTAATAAAGCCAATTAATTATTTGATAAATAATGTTGACAAGTAAATAAATATATGAATAACCCAAAAACGTGGTTATTTTGTTATTTTTAAAATTTTGTTCTAAATAAACAATCTCTATTGGTTTTTTAATAAACTGCTACCTGCCTAAGACCTATTCACTTGTTAAAATAAAACAATTTAGTTTGTAAAGAAAACATCTATTAAAAAAAGAATTTAGCACTCATTCGCTTGACAAAATACAAAAAAATCTCACAACGACGGTCTCAAATGAATACCTTGTATGTCCAAATTAAACATTTTAGAAGAGGAATATTAAACTGTCTTGATTGCTTAATAAAGCCAATTAATTATTTGATAAATAATGTTGACAAGTAAATAAATATATGAATAACCTAAAAACGTGGTTATTTTGTTATTTTTAAAATTTTGTTCTAAATTAATTTGCTTAGATGGAAAAAAGTAAAAATTCGAAATTTCGGACTTACGAGGTATTGATTTGAGACCATCGATAAGCTCTTTAAATTAAAATAGGTCAATGATAAAATATTGCCTAATAAACGTTTAAATGATACAAATAATAAATGTTTCAATATTTCATGCAATACACGTTCAATTATTGCCTAATAATAAACTTTTAATTCTTGTATAAAAATGAAGGTTTGTGAATCGCTTGAAAAAACAGCAAAAAAACAACGTTACAATATTACGTATAATACAATTTTTTATTCCAAATAACGTTAAATCAACCGATTATTTTTCTTTTTAATGTTAGAAACTATGTAAAATTCAACGTTTGATTTAATGTTATCATACGTAAAATTTAAATATAATTTTTGGTGGTAATTAACGTTATTTTCCGCGTCATTTGAACCATATCGTATACGTTCGGTTATCAACCAGTTTTCATCGTTTTATTTACGTGTCTCCGGTGTGAATTTTTAAATAAAAACTTTCGCTCCTTTTTTTGTATAAACTGTTTCAAATATATTTTCCGGTGTGAATTATTGAGTGCTTTTTTAAATGACTTTTCTGAGTAAACCGTTTTAAACATATTTCACACTCGAACGGTTTCTCACCGGTGTGAATTATTGAGTGCTTTTTTAAATGGCTTTTCTGAATAAAACGTTTCGAACATATTTCACACTCAAATGGTTTTTCTCCTGTGTGAATTCTTGAATGCTTTTTTAAATCGTTTTTCAGGATAAACTGTTTCGAACATATTTCACACTTAAAAGGTTTTTCTCCAGTGTGAATTTTAAGGTGCCTTTTTAAATCGATTTTCTGGGTAAATAGTTTCGAACATATTTCACAATGGAACAGTTTTTCTCCAGCGTGAATCTTTAAATGAAAATTTAAACTGCTTTTCTGTGTAAACTGTTTCGAACATATTTTACACTCAAATGGTTTTTCTCCGGTGTGAATTAGTTGGTGTTTTTTTAAATAGCTTTTCTGAATAAACCGTTTCGAACATATTTCACATTTGAACGGTTTTTCTCCGGTGTGAACGGTTAAGTGTTTATTTAAATCGCCTTTATGTGTAAACAGTTTCGAACATATTTCACACTTAAACGGTTTTTCTCCGGTGTGACTTTTTAAGTGACATTTTAAATTGCCTTTCTCAGTAAACTGTTTCGAACATATTTCACACTGAAAAGGTTTTTCTCCGGTGTGAATTATTAAGTGCTTTTTTATATCGCTTTTCTCAATAAATCGCATCGAACATATTTCACACTTGAACGGTTTTTCTACAGTGTGAATTTTCAAGTGCTTTTCCAAATTATGTTTTTGGGTATACCGTTTCAAACATATGTTACATTTATACAACTTTTTACCAGTGTGCATTTTTATATGATTATTTAAATTTATTTCGATTGGGATTCTTTTAGAACTAATTTCACAATTTTTATCATTGGAATGGGACATATTTGCTATAGGTCGATCTTTGAATATAGTATTTAAACAATTTTCACACCGACAATGCTTATATTGTCCAAATTTTCGCTTGGAAAATTTTGTTACTTTCTTTACATAATGAATAGCGATAAAATGAAACAGAAACTGTGACTTAGTAAGAAAAATCTGGCCGCAATAGTAACAAGTTTCGTAACTTCTTCCAAACTGCAAATTGAACAGATTTTCTCTAGGCGATCTGAAAGCTAAAACGAAAAGTATATTAATTTTAATGCGGCATTGCTAATCTACAAATGCGCGGGTTACATTGAAAACTTAGTTTAAACTGTGAACCTTTTTGTATAATCATGGATTATTGTTAATTATATTTTTAAAAGTAACATTCGTATTTTGAATATAATCAGATAAAAATTAAACTGCTATGAGCTAAACTGAGTTTGCAGCATTTTTTGTTCAACCCGCCCTAGTACTTTTATAAATTATCTACACCTACAACAATCCATAGAAGCAGAATCAGAATTTTTTAGTAACCATATAAATTTCATTTAAAACTACATATATAGGGGAGACCGGGGCAAGTTGTAACAAAAAATATACTTTTATAAATTATCTACACCTACAACAATCCATAGAAGCAGAATCAGAATTTTTTAGTAACCATATAAATTTCATTTAAAACTACATATATAGGGGAGACCGGGGCAAGTTGTAACAAAAAATATATCACATTTTTTTTTCTGAGATCTGTTATCCCAAAGCGGATTTTTTCCCCGTGAATTTGTTCTTACATATGTGGTGAATAAATTAAATAAATGCATATTAAAAATATTCAAAATTAAGATGGCTAGCTTTATTTCAAGTTGACATTCGCCCTTTGTTACAACGCCTTGGGGTAAAAAGTAACGGTACACGGGGTAAGTTGTAACTCATATTTTTTTATTTAAATACATACTCAAACGTCAAAAACATAAAATAAAACCAATTTCTAAAAAAATACAAATGAACGTTTAATAAAAAGGGCGTACTTTGATTATCTAATCACTATCGGAATTACAATTATGACAGATATATGGATAATTTCCATCAGTGCACGCTTCATGTGACCACAATTTGCACGTCACGCACATAACCCATTTTTCTTTGGGTTTACTGTTCCCAAATTCTTCACTGCACACTAGAAAAAAATACTCCTCTTCTGAAGAAGAATCTTAAAGTGCAAAAACCTTTTTCTTCACTTTCTTTACTTTTAACTTTAAAATGTCTTTTGATTTCTTGAGGTTTCGACTGATTTGTTCTTCCTCGAGAGCATCTTTTTCAGATGTGTCGGTAAGCACTGCAGATTTTCGTTTTTTTTCTACCTTTAAGGGTTGGCTTACGTTGCTCAGCTTTAGGTAGTGGCCTAACAAACTCTGGAGAAAATATAATTTTGTTCAAAAGGAAAGACTTGTATTTCGTGCAAAACTTGTATACAATTGTATACAATTTTAACTTTTGACTTAAAAGTCTTATTCAGATTTTATAATATATTTTTTTTAAATTGTAAGTTTACATAAACAATTTTTGTAGATAAGCACTGATGATGGCAAATAAGCCGAAAGCGCTTTGCATTTATTAATTAAAAAGTTTTGCACGAAATACAAGTCTTTCCTTTTGAATCTAAACTACGTGCACACAGCTGTCAACCTTTTTTGGTTATTTTAATATAATTTTGTTTCTAGAATTTGCTTGGGAGCTGTTTTTGTTTAATCCTTTCGAAGCAACTGGTTCAAGTTCATGAGCTTCAGAACAGGCAGGTTCCCGTTTATCATTCACAATATCCGGTGAATTAGACGTGGATTTGATACGAGCTTCTTCTGGTAGATCAGCTGACGTAGGAGCTACAGATTCTGTTTGAGAAGATTGTGGTGGAGGTTGATCTGTCACGCTGGCTGGTAGAAGTTCATGGTCGCGGAAAATATCTCTGTTAAAAGGTTCTATACCAGGAACTTGGAAACCTTTTGTTATGTTTACTGGAGTGGCTGCTAGTGGCAGCGCGTGCCGGACCAAAGATGGGATGTCATAAATTGTCATCAACTTTCAAGGGTGGTTTCGTAGCCAACTGTCTTGAGCAGAAGATAAATATTTCTTAAAGGGACCATACACACTTCTGTCCAATGGCTGGAGACGATGTGAACAATGGGGCAGAAATGACAACATTACCACCCCATTTTCTTTTGCGTAGTTTATTGTTTTTATTGCCAAATGCGACTCATGATTGTCCAACAACAATAAGAGTGGATTTTCTATGGATGGCTTAGCATGGGCAATAAAGTGTTGCATGAATGTATAAAAAGTTTCTGCCGTCCAGAACCGTTCGCTGCACCAATGGACTCCGGAGGACCATCTCTAATGAAGTGATCCCGGAATTTTTTTTCGGGGGAACAGAAACATAGGCGGCGTAGAAATTCCTATCGCACTTACTGCGACACATACAGTAACTAGAACCCCTCTTTCGCTTGATGTTATGCCACCTACTTGCTTAGTTCCTTTCTCGGCAATAACCTTGCCTACTTTTTGCACGGTGGTAACCCCAGTCTCATCTAGATTCCATATTCGCGCAGCTGTAAAATTATATTTATCTCTTACGTGAGCTAATTTATCAAAAAATAGAGAAACATTAGTTTTATTAAAATTAGTTGCCCTTTGCAAACTTGTAGGCTCTGGGATTCTAATAGAGAGGTCACAATTTTTTTTAATGAATATTGTCAACCAATCTTCCCCTGCTGATTTGTTTTTTTTTTTCAGGAATCAGGAACTGCAATGTTGTACCTAATGCAACGCACATTCATAGGCCAATTTACGGACTTCCTTAGAAGTCAAACCAAAATATATTTTTGAAGCATGTTTCAAATATTCAACTAGGCTGGCCGACTGCTGATCATTAAAAACTGGATTTTGCCTATAGCCTACATGATCTAATGTAATACGATCTTCGGAATTTCTCACCTTCTTTACATATCTGAAGAGAGTCACGTGACATATATTTAGAGCATCGGCAACTGAGCGGATAGACTCCTTATTTTGTATAACTCTGTTAACTGCCTCTTCCATAGTTTCTTTAGAAGTGAACCTCTTCCTGTTTTTCTTTTGTAAGTTCTCATCCTAGAAATAAAAATTTAGTTAGGCATTTGTAGGTCAAGTATGTACCGGGGCAAGTTGTAACATGTTACATTTTGCCCCGGATAATTTGTTACAACTTGCCCCGAACTTGATTTTTTTCGTTTTGTCGCGACAAATGAAAAAGTAATTACATCACTAAAAACACTAGACATTATTATAATCCACTCCGCAATAATTAATTTGTAAACAAGAAACCAAACTTTATTCACTTTCTTATTATTTGAAATTAAAGTAGAGAATCTAAATTTACTTACGTGCTTGAAATATAAACAACGAAAATCACAGTAACACTGGCGTCTTTTGCTTGGCTTGCTACGTACTACTGAGCTTCACGGGATTCTCTTTACGCTCGCTCGAGTTGCGGGGTTGCCGGAGTTGATGCTCAGGAAATATTTGATATGTTACAATTTACCCCGTGTTACAACTTACCCCGGTCTCCCCTGCGTAAGTCAAATTACCATGTTTCCAAGAAATAGCTTCTCAGTAAAGTTATCAAATATCTAGAGTACGATCCATTTAATTACAACATTAGTCCAAGCGCTGATGACGAATTTGGTGAAGGTGTTTTAGGCAACTTGAAATTATAAAAAGTATCTAGGTATGTTATTGAATCTGGAATCGAGAATCTGTCAGGGTATTTGCGGTTATTTCGCTAGTGCGACGCATATGACATTCGCAAAAAATAATCCCAAAAAAATCTTTAAAATTATGAATCAAAACGACAAAACGTACCGAATGATTTTTGTGAATGTAATGAGAATTTTAGAACTGCTTTAGAGATTTTTTTGTGTGTTTCAAATAAATCGCATATCTTTTTTTTTTGAAATAAACTACATTTACGAGGTACTGTGCTTTAATTGAATACAGATACGAGGAATTGCATATTTAAAAAAATGCAAGAAACAATAGATTAATTTTTTGTATCTATCATAAAAAAATAAAAATAATGGAAAAATGCATAATAAATATATTTAAGTCTGTGTACTAACACTTCCGAAACTCATTTCCTAATATTAAATACCTATTCTAATAATATTGTCACGAAGTCGTGTTTTTGTACCAGTTTTGTCTTTGAAATAAATTACAAATATATAAAAATATCCAATTTATTATCAATCGCACCTCAATATGAACAAACCATTAAAAAATTACAATAATTGGACTTCGACTTACCACATTCTTCACAGGCCTAGAGCACGTCACCAGATCCCACAAAACGTTTCAAAATGAGTACTTTATTTAAAATTACTAATTACCTTATTATTTTATTCAAAATTACTTTATCTTGGATTACTAATGACTTTATTACTGACTACTTTATCATGGACTTTATTTTTCCGTGTAGTGGAGTCTCTTTTCAAAACTATCTTCTTCGCTATCGAGTTTATAACTGATCTCCTTCTTTAATGTCCATACCCAATTTTTTGAATATTGCCGGCTTGTAATATTTTCGTAGTTTACCAAAATTACGCGGTTGATGACCTGACATTATTTTTTCATTATTTTAATTGAGTAATATAATTTCGTTAAGTAATTATTTCCTACTCGGCAGTATTTTGTAATCGTTTTTAAATTTGTTTAATTAGGTATGTTTTGACTAAATAAAATGCTGAATTAAAAATAAAATAATTTTGTTTGATTTACATTAATTTACTTTAAAAATTATTATTATTTTTGGGATTTGTGACTTTATCAGGTAACTCAAAAAAAAATGCGTGATCGGGTAATTTCCTAAATTTAAAAACAACCGCTATTTACAAAAATATTTTTTTTATGTATTTAATAAAAATAAAATAATATAAACAATGAATAATCGATAAAACCCTTTTCTTAGAAAATATATTTACTTATAAGGCAAATGTTCATAAAAACTCCAACAATCTTTAGGGATTGTAGCCTTAATGGTCTGTAAATGATTATACTTTTTTTTTAGTTATTGGAAGAGACGATTGATGAAGAGGTGGAAATATTACATTCTTAAAGTCAAAATTTTTCGGTATTATGGGAAGTGGGTAAATCTTCTTAAAAAATGCCAACTTAACGAAATGTTTCCTGACAAATGGATTGGACGAGTCTCACCAGTTCAAAACTGGCCCACTCGGTCTCCAGATTTAACAACCTTGGACTTTTTTTTTATGTGGTTTTTTAAAAGGAAAAGTTCTGTCGACAGCTCCAACAACTGAAGAAGATAAACAGGATACGGGAAGCATGTGCACAAATTACGCCAGAAATGCTAGAAAACGTTCGCAATCACTTCTTGAATCGAATTAATTTATACATTGCCGTTGACGGTCATCAATTTGAACATTTAATTGGACATTGAAGTACTAATTACTACTTTCCGTTCGTTTATTATTTTTTTTTTTTTATTATTAGCTTGATAAATAATTTAAATTTGTATAAAGTGACTACAGGGCCACTACTTCCAAAGTCGCCGCTAGATGGCGCAAACTATTAGTGGTGCGGACAATTGAAACTCGGCTAAGTGGTTTGCGACTTGGCTAAACGATCCAAGATTGCGGCCATATCGTTTACGTGAACGTATATAGATTATCGTTGAATAGAAAAATTCTGCGCAGTGAAAATGCCAAAAGGACCTAAGCGTGTATCTCGGCTACTATTAGTCGGATTTAAACGAGGAAAACGACATTATGTAGAGAACATGATATAGATTAACGTTGAAGAGAAAAATCCTGCGCAACAGCAATGCCAAGAGGACCTAAACATGTATCTCGGCTATTATTGGACTGATTTAAACGAGGAAAACGGAATTATGTAGAGAACTCGGTATAGATTAACGATGAATGGAAAAATCCTGTGTAGTGACAATGTCAAAAGGACCTAAGTGTGTATCTCGACTACTATTGGGCATATTCAAACGGAAAAAACGATATTATGTAGAGAACTCGGTATAGATTAACCTTAAATATAAAAATCTTACGCAGTAGCAATGCCAAAAGGACCTAAGCATGTATCTCGACTATTATTGGTCAGATTTAAACGAGGAAAACGACATTATGTAGAGAACGTGATATATATTAACGTTGAAGAGAAAAATCCAGCGCAGTAGCCCCTGCCAAAAGGACCTAAACATGTATATCGACTATTATTGGTTAAATTGCAACGAGGAAAATGACATTATGTAGAGAACGTGATGTAAACTAACGTTGAAGAGAAAAATCCTGCGCAGTAGCAATGCCAAAAGGACCTAAGCGTGTATCTCTATTATTGGTCGGATTTAAACGACGAAAACGGCATTATGTAGATAACTCGGTATAGATTAATGTTGAATAGAAAAATCCTGTGTAGTGGCAATGTCAAAAGGACCTAAGCGTGTATCTCCGCTACTATTGGTCATATTCAAACGGAAAAACGATATTATGTAGAGAACTCGGTATAAATTAACCTTGAATACAAAAATCTTGCGCAGTAACAGTGCCAAAAGGACCTAAGCATGTATCTCGATTATTATTGGTTAGATTTAAATGAGGAAAACGACATTATGTAATGTAGAGAACGTGATATAGAACGTGAAGAGAAAAATCCTGCGCAGCAGCAATGCCAAAAGAAACTAAACATGTATTTCGGCTATTATTGGTCTGATTTAAACGAGGAAAACGACATTATGTAGAAAACTAGGCATAGATTACCGTTGAATAGAAAAATCATGCGCAGTGTCAATGTCAAAAGGACCTAGGCGTGTATCTCGGTTATTGGTCAGATTTAAACGAGGATAACGACATTATGTAGAGAACGTGATGTAGGTTAACGTTGAATAGAAAAATCTTGCGCAGCAACAATGCTAAAAGGACCTAAGCATGTATATCGGCTATTATTGGTCGGATCTGAAGGGAGTGGGGGAAATTACCGATGAAGAGAAAAATTACGCACAGTGGCCTATCTACAGATATTAGATAATATATAGATACCTGCAGATATCTACAGGTTCTGTTATTCATTATCATGGCTACAAAAGAAAAGATTCAACCAAAGTTTTGGATGATTTATGGCAAATAGATTTGGCTGAATAACTAAAGATTTAAAATAAAATCAAAAGCGCTAAAAACGTCGAAAAACGGCAAAACCGACGTTTTTGAACGCTTCAGAACGCACTATGATGTTTGATGACAAAATGTGTCAAGCATCTCGTTTAAACGTTCTTTGTTTCTATATCAGAAGTGGAGATAGCCGATCGGTATAAGGCTCTGATTATTGTGGTAAATAACTATAAGATTTAAAATAAAATCAAAAGCGCTATTATACCGTTTCGACTATTTCACTTTTTTTCTTTTAAATAAATAAAATACAATTTTTTACAAAACATATTTATTAAATTCTTTCGAAATCGTTTACAATTTTGTGTTTATAAAAATACATGAATTGTCATAATGTCATATTTTTCAAGTTAGAATCTAAATTTTTAAAAACATGCATTTTGTGAAAAGCATCTGAAATGTATAATTCTCATCATTAAAACTACTTCTAATTATATTTAGAATTTTATAATAATATTGTGGAAATTGAACAGTCTCTAGCATTAACACATACGATGCTAACATAAGCCTATTTAAATCAACAAGTTCCATCTTGTTCTGTTAACCAAAAGTCTATATTGTGTTTGCTTACGATGATAAACTTTGTATCTTCGAAGAACACTTGTCGAACTTTGCAGTAATCACCACACTGAAACTCAACATAGTCGTACTCATCAGGAAGATCCACAATCTCGATAAAAAAAATTGTTGTCTTGAAGTAGGGTCATCAATTGCTCCCACTCATAGGAACTAAACGATATTTTTTCCCACTGTCTTTTTTGTATAACAACAGCGGCAGTAAACGATCTTGCTGGACACCCAATTTGGCAGGAACCTTGTGGTAATTGCGTATAGAGTAGGTAATGAACTTCGTTCTTGGCTGCTTTTTCATATTTCTCTAATAGAGAATCTAGTTCACAACCATAATATTGATAGTAATAATAATTGATAGTTTGGTAAATGTTTCTTGTTTCCCGGTATACCAACATCATGAATTTTCTATAAAAAAAAATTACTGATTAAAAATTTTTATTGCAGAGATTGTTTCATTTAATTCGGAGCAAATAATAAGTTTAATGTACTTTTGGTGATCATTAATTATTTCAATAACAACTAAATGATATTTACTATTATATATTGCATTGTATTAATGGTTGGCTATGATTAAGCAATAAAAATATTGTTTTAATATTTTGAGGTATCTATCCTTGAAAACATTAAATATGATCCGCTATGGTTTACCTTTATGTAGACGTAATTGAAAATTGTAATTTTATTTGTTTCTTGTAGCATCTACTTAGTGAATAACTAAAGAAAAACAACAAAAATCTCAATTGTTTCTGTACTCTAGTCATCGACTACTGGTAGATATGTTTAACATCATTTTTAATGACAAAAAATGAGGTATGTATGAAATGAAACTTTTATAAGACTTTTTTTTTTGAATAGTAATGTATTTATTGATAGACGTCATATTTTTTAGGACAAAATAACTAAATAAGTTCAAATACCGATACAAAATAATTAAATGGAAATTTCTAACATATTTTTTTTATGACAAAAATGAGGTTGTATGAATGTTGTTTTGAATGGTAATGTATTTATAAATGAATGTCGTATTTTTTAAGACAAAGGAAAATGTATGGTAATACCGAAATAAACAACTAAAGTTCGAATACCGATACAAAATAATTAAATGGATATTTCTAACATAATTTTTGATGATAAAAAAGGATTTATTAAAATAGTATGTATGTATATATGAAAAATGTATAGAAATGCTAAATATACAAGCTGAAAAAGATACTAGTAATACAAAAATATGTATGAATACCCAAACTAAATAATAAAATGTCTATAATGAAGAAAAAAGTGAGTACAAAAGTTTTAATAGTGTCGAATGACAGATGTCATATTTTTTTAGATTGAAAAGAACCAGAACCTGTAGAGATATAAATTAGTGATGATGATAATAAATGATTGGATAATTGTTAGTAGAAGATGTCTAGTAATGTTAAAACTTTAGAAATAAGCACAAATACCGATGTTGGTGTGAGTAGAAAAGAGTGTGATAATAAATGTATGACAGATGTCTTATTGTTTAGGTTGAAAATTAATTTAAAGTGATAGTCACATGAGAATCTGTGAATACAATTCGAGTACAATCGATGGCCTGCGGTTGGTATATGGTACACCAGCTTAAAATTTGTAATTGCTATTGTAATAATTTTTTTAATAAAGATAATGACTAACGATGACGTACGACAATGAACGTAGAGTATTTTGTTACCTTGTTATTAATATCCAACGACTGTGACTAACCATGATGTATGACAACGAACGAAGAGTAATTTTTGTTATCAATAAATATAATATATAATGAAAATGCTATTTTTAATTAAAACACCTTATCTATTTCAAACATTTATTTTTGCTTTATAAGAAGAGTAAATTTTTTTATTTATAATTTTTACAATAATTTTCAATATTATACAACAAAGATGATAATGTTAAACAACTAACTATATATAATTTAGAATATTCAGGCACTGGTATGTCACTCAAATCGATTTCAAATAAAGGTGGTGGATCAATTTTAATTTGTAACTCTTCGCTTCATCAATTGTTATCGAAAAAATATTTAGCTTCACATCATTTACTATTGAGAAATTCATCTTTCGTCATTTCGTTTAATTATCAAAACGTATCGCCATTTGCTGAACGCCATTCCGTACATTGGTATACAGTATATCGTTTAATATGGCAGTAAGCATAATAAAATTTGCTTTCAATAAGGCCATATCTGCGTCGGTTGAATTCTTCTAAGCGAATATTGAATGGGATGATGTCTCTCAAAGGTTTTATCCCAAAGACTTAAATTTGTCAGGTCTCTCAAAACTTCCCTTTTGTCTGCATATGATTTTATATCTCTACTTAGTTCTCTAACTCTTTTATCAAACTCTTCAATTCTATGTCTATTATCTCGATAATGATTAAAATTCAATATTTGGTGCGAACTACCTCCCCACTCCCCATTTAAATCTAATCAATAATGGGCGCAGATCACTGCGCGTAATTTTTCTCTTTATCGGTAATTCCCCCCACTCCCTAGTTTTCCCCCATTCAAATCCGACCAATAATAGCCGAGATACATGATTAGGTCCTTTTGGCATTGCTACTGCGCAAGGTTTTTCTATTCACTGTTAATCTAAATCACGTTCTCTACATAATATCGTTATCCTCGTTTAAATCTGACCAATAACAACTGAGATACACGCTTAGGTCCTTTTAACATTGACACTGCGCATGATTTTTCTATTCAACGTTAATCTATGCCTAGTTTTTTCTACATAATGTCGTTTTCCTCGTTTAAATCAGCAGTGAGATTCTCATTTTTCGTACTCGGCATATGTTGAGAAGCGCACTATTCGCTAGAAAATAGCATCGATTCTTAGGTTAAATCGAGTTGGGTATCGATCGAGACATGAAAATAAGGCTGCCTTGGCGTTTTATGTTTTATGGTTATGTCATGTCATTAAATGGTGTTTTTGGTTAGAAAGTGTTTCGTTTGAAATATTTTATTTAATAATTAAGCTAATGTATAAAATTTTTGTCATCTCTATTAAAATAGACGTTTAAAATACATATTAAGTTATTTTAAAATACAGTAAAATGAGTGGAAGACACTTGTGTGTCCCAATGCAACCCTGGAAAAATTATTTCATGAAAAAAAAATGGCATTCTGTTACATTTCATCGGTTTCCTAAAACCGGTAGATGTAAGGTAATTTTGTAAAATAAAAGTGGAAAATCTGAACTTGTGGATGCAAGAAGAGTATGCTTCAAAACTTAGGGAAGCAAAATTTATGAAAGGAAAGTTTGTTCAAAGCGAGGCACGAGAAACAAGAGGGAAAAATCCGTAACAATAGTTTTACCACAGAATAAAGAGGCAGAAAAGGCAATATGGATATAAAAAGGTAAGTTAAATAATTTCAGTAGAAAATGAAATTTTTAATTAAAACTTTAGAGTCATTCCATTAGAAATGGTCCAAAAATTTGAAAATTGGTTGCTCGACCAGCACCAAATAAAACAAAACTACCATGTAATGATAGCTTATAATGTAGATATGTTATATCCGATGTTATTTTTTGTTCTAAATGATTTTTTTTTTTAATTATCGGCCGTTTTTGTACCGCAACGTTTGGAAAAAAATTCAATTGCAGCCCTTTATAAAATTGCCAATTGCCTCTTTACTCTTTGCTTGTATCTTTGTGAAACAATTTTTATTAGCTTTAGCAAAAGATTTTGTGCATTATTATTATAATTTTATATATTTTTCATTATTATGATGCCGACTTTTTTGCCTTCTAATCTAATTATAACAAAAATTACAATAATGCACCGATTTTGACAGCTGATATCTCAAATAGGACTAAATATAAAAACTTGAAATTTTCACATATTAAAGATCAAACAGCACTTTATACGTGCTATTAATTTCATTTTGTGTTTTTAATCTAGAGAAAAAATATTAACATTAGATATAGTATATCCACGCCACATTATAAGCTATCATTACACGGTTGTTTCATTTTATAATAATTTTTATACTAGGGACTAAGAACAAGAATGATATTAGGTTATTATTTTTAGGTCTGTAATCTCTAAAACCGAAAAAAGTTCATGATGACAGTAGTGGAAGTGGAAGCAATTATTGTGATGAAGATGAAAATAAAATGATAAGAACATCAAAATCGGAATCTTTTTTTGAAGGAGGCTCAAGTAGTTCTTCAAATCTACATGAAGCTGTCTCTGGAACTGGGACCTCTAAACAAACTGAAGAACGCGATGGCTACCATGAAAATGACATTGGTCGTTATGTTAGTTGTGCCAATTCGCTCCGTGCGCGACAGCAGCGCCAATTTGTTTTGGTATTAAAGGAGTATTTCTGCCTATACTGACAAATACAATTTTTAATAGAATTCGTAAATAAAAAGAATATATGTTAGTTTTAATAAAAGTATATGGATTTATAAAACAATTAAAACATTAATTTATTATTATTATATATTTTTCACGCTTAAATTGAAGAAAATTATGTATAATCATTAAAAATCAATAATAAAATATAGGCAGGCAACAGTATTTACTGGAAAATGTATGAGAAGTTGCCTAAGTCTAATAAGTTGTCATTGAAGAAACCATTTATAATAGCGTGAAGTTAAAATGTATGAAAAGGATCGCTACTTATATTTTCATTTTTGTTCTAAAGAAAACATAGAATGAATGATTAAAACTGGTTTCCGATCAGTAAGTCACAAAATTGCATACCAGCCAAATATTATAATCAACGGCAGAAATCTTGAAATCTAGTCCTTGCTGAATGAACATTTAAGAATAAAGGGATATTAAAGAACATCGTAAAATGATAATTTATTGTTTATTTAAAAACTTTCTAGTTTCTGAAGTCTACTATTTCCAGCATTACTGTTATTATCACAAAAATAAAGGTAATTTTTCTTCTTATTGTACACCTATCCATTTATTTCTTTGATTTAATTTCCACTTTGTTAGTGAAATTTGTTATATAAGTTTCACTGTTTTTTTTTGCTAGTATTTGTACAATTTTCAACACAGCAACTCCGGTTGCTTATTGTGTTGTTTTGAAAAAAAGTAAAATGTATACGTGTATTTGATATGCCAAAATTACAAAATATCCCCCTAAAATGCACGAATTATCCGCAGCTAGCGCTAGTATCGCTTTTGCTTCCCTTTCCATGACTTCGCACGGAGCGAATAACTTGCCTTCTGAAAAAAAGAAGGAATTGTTGACAAACCCTTGGGTTCCATCATCCAATTACGATTTTGCTTTTGATGCCATTCACTTGAAAAGAAAATTTATCCATCGCTGGCTAGAACAATATACTCCATGGCTGGTGTACTCAAGTCGTTTGAAAGGTGCTCTATGTTTGTATTGTGTTTTATACGAGTTTTGGGGTCATTTATGGTAAGGCCTTACATGAACTTTAAGGATGTACATGAAGATTGTAGAAAGCACGTTGGCAGCCATTACCACAAATCTTCAACAGCTGCTGCAAAAGCATTTCTTGAAAATGCTCCTGTTGATGTCCAGTTGCAAATGGGGCACCATAAGACGATTGAAGAAAATAAACAAATATTGTCAGCAATTATTTCATGCATAATATTTTGTGGAACTCATGATTTGCCGCTTAGAGGAAAAGAAGGAAATGAGGGAGTTTTCTTTGACCTTTTAAATTTGAGGATTGACTCTGGTGATGAGAAGCTAAAGAGCCATTTGGATAAATGTCAAAAAACGCAGTCTATACCTCACCAACAATTCAAAATGAGATCATACAATTATGCGGTGAAGTTATCAAAGAAAAAATAATCGAAGACTGTAAATGGGCAAAAGCTTATGCTGTAATGGCTGATGAAACAGCAGATATCGCTGGAAAAGAGCAGCTTTCTATTGGATTAAGGTTCTATGATGAAAGCCAAAAAATAATCAGGGAGGAATTTGTAGGCTACATTGAGTTAAAATGTCAAGATGCCTATACAATCGCTAGCGCAATTCAAAGTTTTTTAGAAGATAATAATTTTTCCGCCGATAATTGTGTGGGATTCGGATTTGACGGGTGTTCCACGATGGCCGGCAAAGAAGGTGGTGTACAGGCCATTCTTAAAAAAAAGTACGCTAAATCTTTATTTTTCCATTGCTCCAGTCACAGACTAAATCTTGTGGTCAATGATACTAGCAAGCTACCAGAAATAAGAAACACAATTGCAACGGTTAAAGACACAATAACCTTCTTTCGTGAATCGCCAGCCCGTAGGAAATCGGTTCCAAATCTTTCAAGGCTCTGTGAGACCAGATGGTCGGAAAAATATAAGAGCATAAAAAAATGTTCAGAAAGCTTCACTGACATTGTTAAAGCACTAGAACATCTATCTGTCGAAGGAAACTATGCAACAAGAAAATCTGCCTACCAATTGCACTGTGCAGTTACTAAACCAATATTCATCTTAGGCTTAAACATAATTGCAAGATACTCTGCAATTTTGGAACCCGTTGTAAACGTTTTACAAGGTAAAAGTATGGATTTGGTTATGGTGAAGAAACATATTGATGATATTCTAGATGTAATCAAAGAAGATCGACAAGATGTCGAAAATGTTTCTTATGATTTATTTAAAAAATCACTTGATATCGCAGAGAAAGTAGGGGTTGAGTTGTCAGTACCACGAGTAACTCAAAAGCAAGTACACAGAAGTAATCCACCATCTGAGTCTGCAGTTGAATACTGGAAGCGGTCAATAATCATCCCCTATCTTGATTCTTTAACTTCGTCTTTGGATGCTAGATTCTCCAACGAAAATACACCTGCTTTTGCTTTAACTTATCTTCATCCTTCAAGTATGCTTAAAATGGCTTCAAAAGATTTCAAAAATAATGCAGAATTTTTCATGGAATTTTAGAAGTTGGGTGATGTCTCTGCAGAATTAGATTTGTGGTACAATATGTGGAAGAAAAAGAATTTAGCAGAAGACAAATTAAAGGACATTGAAGTGGCTGCACTTTTGGAGGAAGCTAATGTTTCTTTCCCTGCAACAAGGCACGCACTGCTAATATTAAGTGCTTTCCCATCCACTACTGCTACCGTGGAAAGATCGTTCAGTACCCTACGAAGGGTAAAAACCTGGCTCAGGAGTACAATGGGTGATGACAGACTCACTGGGTTGTGTTTAATGAGTGTGCATCGAAAATTTTTTAAGGAAAATCAGGACTGCATAGTGAAGAAAGTTTTGGATAAATTTAGTTTAAACCCAAGAAAAATGTTATTAGTTTAATTTAAGTATAATTAAAATCTCAAAGTTTTGTTTTCATTTGCCTTTTTTTTATCCTAAAATTTTACATTTTGGACGACCAGGGACCAGGGTTTGCCCCCCCCCCCGTTATAAATCCTGGCTACGCCCTTGTTGCAAGGTGAAAAAAATCAACAATATATAAAATGATTTCCAAATTTAGAAAATAAATTGCTTGTGAGTTCTTTATTGAAAAAGATTACAAATATACATACATTAATTTTTTTAATAGGCAATAACAAATTTTGCCAAACTGACATAGTTTTTGGAATAACTAGAAATTAAACATTTAATGGATCCTCAGAATGAAGTAGTCAATGAGCAGAAAAATCTGGGAAATTATCCACTTCCTGTCTTCTATGAAATCCATTAAGTAATAATTAGGCACACAATGAAGTATACATGTCATATCTACTTACTGGTACTCATTTATATAAGAAATACATTTTCATTTATTGGTTTCAAATATTTAACATAAGTCGAGCAGCTATATTATTGTAATTTTCACGAAACAATTGTTGATATTTTTATAGTTTACAGTTTACCTGTTTCTCTCTTGATTTTTCAAGGGCTTCTAAAAACAATATATGAATTGTCATTATGCAAAGGCATTCAAGTCGTTTTGTTAAGTATTTAATGATTATAACGCCATAAATATTTGAACTTGGAAATATACTTAGATAATCTTTAACATCCTGTAACTCCGTAATTTTTCACTTCAGACGTAAAGTGTTATTAGCTCGTTGTAATCGACACAACCAAGGCATTTTAAATCGGCTTTGGTATAATACTGTTAGGAATCACCTTGTATATTCGTAAAATAAAAGTTTAAGACTGTCTGCATGACTGAAGTTTTGCTTTTTTATATCTACTATGATAATATATAATTTTTCCGAAGATTTTCACAAAAATTGATTACCCTGTATATTATATAATCTATGAGTTTTAGACGATTGATAGATTTTATTAGTAAATTCTAAATAGTGGTGAATATGCCAACAACCTTATAGGATATATAAACATGCTTACACTTGATTTATATATATTGATCTAGAAGGCTATGATTAAATATTTTCCGAATAATTGAAAATCCATCTACTGTTGACTTTTATAATAAATGACGTTTGTATTATCTTAAGCGAGCATTAGACCGTTCTGTATTAGTGTTTTAAATAAATATTGTTGCAAGTATGGCGTTTGCAAATAGGATAAGCTGTTATGTTTGCAATAGACACTTCCAACTTCGACTCACTATTCGTTTAAACGAGGACAATAATATAGATGTGCAACGTTGCTAATTTTAGAAGACAAGCTGCCGGACATCCTGCAATCGATAATCTACGAGAAGTTAGATTATGTTTAAACTGTTATCACGCAATTAAACAGGAACTTAGAAATATTGAAAATGATCCAAATTGCCTAAGACTTAATGTTTTAACACCTCACTCAGTTTGTGGTTGTATAATTTGTAACGCACAAGTAAATGTAAGAAAACTATCGGCAGAGCAAACATTTTTTAGTTTCAAATATTTATAAACCCGAATATCTGAAGATTTGTGACATTCATCTAAATCACTCAGGTTTACTAATGATTAATTTACCTGTTAGTTTGCGTTTTGTTTATAGACCATTCCTCCCCGTTAATATTTAGCAATATTTGTCTAGTTTCAGAGCGGCTGGTACTGCTAATAATAATTTAAAAAATTGGGAAGACATAAATACTTTTAGTTTAGAAGAATTTAAATATTTAACTTCAATTTCTAAAGAGAATTATATGAATTTTGTGAACCAATAGAACAATATGGTAACTTAAGAAACGTTCCTCAAAAAGATTTACTTGCTTTCCTTGTTAAACTAAGACATGGATTGATGAGTTCATAAAATTACTTTTTAATTATTCATCCTGACAAGTCACCAGTATAGTAATATCTAATGTCTGTATATCCCTGCTTCAAAATTTGTACCTAGTAATATTGGATTTAGATCAATAACCAGAGAAAATTATATCATAAATCATGTCCCTGAATTCGTAAACATGCTTTACAACCCTATAGCAGATACTCCAAAAGCCATATTTTATGTCGATTGTACATATAACTCAATTGAAAAAAGTCAGTCCTATCGCTATTTTAAGAAGGAACATTTAGTTAAGCCGGAAATTACAGTAGCTCCTCCTGACGGATATATTTTATCAATCAATGGTCCCTATTTTTCTGATGCATCTAATAATGATGCAGCAATCTTACAGCAACAATTGGCTAATGATAATAATGAATTTAGAAACTGGATTACAGAAGGACATATACTAATTTATTTATTTATTTATTTATTTATTTATTTATTTATTTATTTATTTATTTATTTATTTATTTATTTATTTATAATACAATACTCTACAGGTCATAAACCCAATTACAGAGCAGGAATTGACAGAATATAATTATTAATAGATCACATTTTTTATATGAATGTTAAGCACATAAAAAGAACTTGTATTTCGTAATAGGTAACAAATTAACTAAGATAAAAAGTGAGATTTTATATCTGACAAATTGCAACTAAATATATCAAGTTCATTGACAATAGAATTTGTTACTGTACACATGGTATGGAGCGGAGAATTTTCCTAATAGTAGATAGAGGCTACAAAGATGTTATTCCTAGATTAGAAGAACTTGGGTTAATTACTTATATGCCACCTTTGCTTCATCAAAACCAATGGCAATTATCAACAAGTGAAGCTAATAGAGCGAGGTTAATACCTAAAACTCGTTGGGTTGTAGAAGCCAGAAATGGACATTTTAAATCCATTTTGCTGTTAATTTGAGTAGTTTTTATCAGATTGCAGGTGTGTTGTTAAATAAGTTTCATCCTCTTATAAATCTACCAGGTACAATGGACATAGCAGTTGAAATTTTAAACAAACTAGATGACGTTAATATTATACAAGCACGCGTTGAAGCCCAAAATCTGACTACCAGAAATGGTCGGTGGCGAAGACTGAACTACTTGTATATTCCTCTAGAGATCAATTTTTTAAAATACTAGGTAGGTTCTTACCATATTTATTTAAGTCCATCATATATTCAAGATAAACTGCAAAGAGAGGAAAATAATGTTTTAGAAATAGACGAGTTTAGAGAAGAGAATAATTTTTTACGTTTTAGAAAATATTCTAGGTTCAGAAACGCAACTAAATATATGCTGTGGTTAGCTTACGAAGACGAACTTAATGAAAATATTGATCCAATTTTCTACTAATATTGTACATGTCCATGTGGTTCGAGAACTTTAAGTACTTGGGCATATGTTGCATCAGTGTTATGGTTTCTTGGATGCACAAGGCACCAAAATAATATTATATTTCCAACAACACGTTTACTAAAATAGTATCGATGATGCAGCAGATCCATTATTTCCAGAAAATATAGATTTAAGTCCCATAGTAGAAGAAAATTAATTTGTACTACCATCTCGTATTTGGACCTAATACTTAACGTTAACGTCTTGGTTCAGTTACGTCAGTCATTTGGTCGTTCATCTTTAGCTTAGGCTGTTCTTTTAATTTAATATTTGACTTGGAACTCGAGGTGAGTTCTGGGTTGATTTAACATTCAAAACCGGTTTTATTATCTTGTAGCTGCCATAAACCCCTTGAGTTTTAAATCAAGTGAAGAGCTGCACAAAGCTGATTTTTTTTATTTTTTTTTATTTCTCACCCCTAAGGGCCCAGCTAAATATTTTATTTTTTCACTAATTTTTATATAGGGTACAAACAACATAAAACACAATTTTTTCACACTGGCCAGAATTAATTTTTTTTGGTAATTTTTAACCTACCCTATTATACAAGCTGTGCAATAGTCCTACAGGGGCTAACACTTAAAACAAAATGTATTAGGGCTTTACCTCTGATATAAATATAAAATATAAAGAAGCAATGCTCCAGTCAAAATAAACATGTAATCCAATCATTATTCATTTCCCTAGATCCTACTTAGACCTAACGTATAATGAACTTTTTTTGTAATGAAATAATGTATGTGAACTAATAAGATTTTTTTGATAAACAACTCGCAAGTTAAAAGGCAATTATTTTCTATTTTTTGCCAATAATTTCAACATTTTGTTACATATTCAACCGCAATCACCCTGTAAGTACGAAATATTTTTAGCTGCCCTCAAATAGTACAAGGGGTATATTTCTAATCCAACACAGTGTGTCAAAATATTTAATATACAGAATTTATCTGGAACATATCTACTTATGTCAGTAGGTATATTTATTGTTTAAAATTCATATATTTGGTACATATTAAATTTTATTTGGAAAACTAGTCATACGATCTAATTTTACCAATAAGAATTTCGAATAAATACATCAAGTACTATACAATATAAAATATTGAGAGACTTTGACGGCGATATATATATTTATTTTTTTTCGGAATTTCGGCTATTTTTGTTTGGTGAAAAAACCTACTTTGACTAAAAAGGATCTGCGGAATTATTAATCACTCTGTAAGTGACAATATTTTAATTATAGTAGTTAATTATGTATTTTGACTACACAGAATGAGTAAATAACTTCCAAAAATATTTAAGGGTGATTTATGGTGTCCATTTTAAAGAATTGGGGAGTTCTAACATCAAAATCTAGTAGTAGGATACGATTGGGCCCATGGACACTTTTGATGGGGACATCAAGTAATTTAACACATCAAGAGTGTGGTCCTTTCATGTTGATATCACTTTTCGTTTTTGATTTGATTTTTTTTTTAATTTCAATACCCCTCTAACCCCCAATTTTTACCAAGTAATTCCATCAAAATGCTAATACAGCATAAAATGTACATGTATTGCCAAGAGTGAAACACTCTGATAAGTTATAACTATAGAAGTTCAGATCGTTTTTATAACTCTATAGGTATCCATTTCAAGTCCAAAATAAAGCAAAATGAAGTAAATATTCTTTAAACGTAAGTATACTTTATTGATGTACAATCAATATAAAAAGATACATTTATTTTAATTTCAAAGTTGTTTTTTGGCCAATTTGGAATATTTCTTGGCTTGCTGTGCATATGCCAATCAATAGAATGTTAAAATTGGTCAACATGAATAGTTTGGAATGAGTTGGGAGTTGAAGATTTTAGAGTGTAATAGATGTACCTAATGTTTAGTTTTAGTTCTAGAGAACTGTTTATATTTTTGTTATGTACTTTATATTTTTTTAATACTTACAATCTTAAATCAAACTTCTATATGTAAAAATTATTTTTAAATTTATCTATATTTTTGAATTGTAATAGTGCCTTATCGCTAAATAAACATAGCTCGAAATCAGGACTGTCCCACACAAAGTGCAACATATGGTTATGTTATTAATATACCATGTTTGGCTCCTGTATATAGGCCCAAGGGCTGAACGCCAAGTCTCACTTGGCAAATAAGTAATATAAGCTCATAAATACACTTACTTTTTTTGAGAACAAACCAGGGATACCCCCTCTTCTTTTGTTTGGGAACATTTCTCACAGTATGTTTTGATGATTTCGATTTTATTAGGATCTGTTTGCTACTACACGGCTGTGCAAAATAATTCGGATAATCAGTAAACTTAACCTCGCTGTTTAGAGTAGGCAAATCACAATGGGATGTCAAAAGTTCACTTTCATTTTTAAACTGTACATATTCGTTTATTTCGTTAATCACAGGCTTGATATCGCCGATATCTGCCGCTTTAATGTCGTTAACGTTCTCAGGTACTGATTCGTACTCAAAGTTTTCCAGAAAATCAGAACCTTCAATTTTAGGCAATTCACATTCTTGTTTGATCCCATCAACATTTACGAACTCCCTCGTTGTTTGATATTCACAAATATTATCATTATCACCAAGCACATAGTATTTGTTGTTTTTAAACGTTTTGTCTTTTGTACAACAATAATTTCCATCTATTTGATCGGAAACAAGATCTGGTTCCATTTTAATTATCTCTATATTATTATGATCAAAGAGTTGTTTCACATCCATTGTTTTAATAACTGAATAAAAAATAAACGATTAACAAAACCTTCCGAAACATGGAGTTCGGAGTTACTGATACTGAGTTACTTCTAACTTCTTAAAAATATAATAAAAAAGTGAGAATAAAAATATAAATAAGCAATCAGACATTCCAACGACCTGTCAAACTGCTGACAAGTGACAAGTGGGAACTGGAACTGACATTTAGATATGGCAACCCTGTGAGCTGTCATTGGCTGCGTTCATCCGCGCCATTTCAAGGAGCGCTACAAAAGTAGCGATCACTTACGCTACCAGGGCTGGTAACTCAAATGGAAAAACATGAGGACGGTAATTTAGTACCACTCCAATTAACGGGATGGCGCTCGTATCGAAATGTCATGTTAGTTGTCAGCTTGTCAACAAAACTTCAAACTTGGAAAAATTAAAATGGCTGTTGCATTTGAAGGTGTATTGGATTTTGATTCATCTAGATTTATTTTTCAACACCTTCCAATTTTAAGCATGTGTTCATGAGATGGGAACATGGATTTCAGCAACGAACAATAAAGCACTCCCAGATATTGGTAGTGATAGTGATGCAATTTATACCACGTATTAAATATGAGGTCGTCATATTAAGGATAACCAATGTGTAATAAGTTTCTTAAGAAAAATTCATCTTGTACTGGCATCAATGGTAAGTACTATTTACAAACTTGTTTTTGATTCAGTGTTAAAATAATTGGTTTGATATTTAAATTTCTTTTTGTTTTCAGTTTTTAAATGATCATTGTTGTAAAGAAAATGTTGGCCCTCCAAAATACCCTGTCGATTGATGAAATATTTGAGCCTCAGCCATCAATATCAAAAACTGATTCAATGCCATTGACATCAAACAAGAAAACGCCCTAAAATCTTCAAGGGTCCAAATGTGTGTAAGTTTAATTTATGCTCAAAAGATAAATTCATTTATCACAGTGCCCACATGATGAATAAAAATTTGATAACTACAAGTGCTGTATAAATGAATCACGAAAACAATTATCGGATGAAGAAATGCTCCTCAACCTAACTAGTCAACTCGATAACCGTATGGCAAATTTTATCCACACTCAAATTTGCCTCGATAGTAAAAAAGAATGATGCTTCAACTTCAATTTTTTCAAACTTATTTGCCACTCCAAGTCGCAAAACTTTTATAAAGGTCTTGAACACTTATATATGCTGATTTTGTTACAGAAAACATTTTTGATAGGTTTGTTTTATAAATATTTAATTATTTAAATGGTGTAAATGCATATTTGTTTAGTGTTTAAATAGACACATTATATGATGCGGCGTTAATTTACTGTAATAAAAAAAAATAAATTGCATTTTATTTCAAGTTTGAAATTAATGCAAAAATATAATGAAGTAAAATCAAATAAAGATATAAATTGGCAAAATATTTTACTAGTTTCAAATCACAAAATAGTCAATATGGTTGTTTTATGATTTGAAACTAGTTAAATATTTTTCCAATTTTTTTGCTTTATTTGATTTTCTTCATTACATTTTTGCACTACTACAAAGTTAAATTTCAAAAAGCCCGCTTGTGGCGGCCATATTGAATTTTAGTACCACTCCAATTTGATAGATGGCAGCACATCGACTCAGAATTTTACCATTGAGTTTCCCATTTATTCACATTAGTAATCTATGGGTAAGTCGTTCTTGAACTAAAATCGAAGTACGGTTACAACGTCTCTAAAGTTCCATGTGATTCCGGTGTTACACTGGAATTTAAAGATGGATATAATCTATAACTGTTAAGTACATTCACGAATTTGTTACTGCCCATCTCTAAATTCACGCGATATATCGCGTAATCTATGGATATATCAGGGCTGGAACTCTGTGTCATGTAGAATTCTACTTATCGCTTTCTACAATAGATTCTTTTGTGGCACTCTGTGTAACATAGCGGAAAACCAACGAGTATATACTTACTACAGGATAACTAGATTCATAAGAAACCACATTGCGATATTTCCCGTGCGGTTGATAACGTATTTATCACAAAAGAAAGTAATCAATTCCATTGTAGAAAGCGATAAGTAGATTTCTACATGACAGAGTTCCAGCCCAGATCAGCATTGGGATTCTCATCTTTCAATTCGGCACGTGTTGAGACGACTATCTTCGTTCCACAGAATGCGATTCGTATATAATGTCTCTCTATTCAATTCGTTACGTGTTGAGTACGCAGATAAGAATCCCTGTCCAGAACTTCGATTTTCGTTTAAGGACGACTTACCCAAGTCCGACTCAGGTGAGTTCTGTTTTCTGTTTATAAATACGGACCTTGGCATTCCAACGACCTGTCAAACTGCTGACAAGTGGGAACTGACATTTACCCGATCAAACGAACTTGTGAAGTTCGATCGTAATTATATGAGGCGCTTCGTCCGAATAGATTACTTTATAATAACTTAGTAGTACCGGTTTTCGGTGCTAGATGGCACAACGTTCAAAGATAAAAAAACTTCTTTATCGGTTAAGTATGCTTACCTACTTTACCGATCCCTTTCACACGTCATAAAGTTTAAAGCAAATTCAAAATTTGTTTTTCGATTTATACCTACCTGAAACGGGTAAAAATGGGATGGGAAGTAATCTATTCGGACGAAGCGCCTCATATAATTACGATCGAACTTCACAAGTTCGTTTGATCGGGTAATTATATTCGGCGCTTCGTCCGAATAGATTACTTTATAATAACTTAGTAGGCTGTTTAAAGTTACATTGTTTCAGGCTTAGGAAATGTATCAAGGTTATACAGTATCTTCTTTGATATTTCCTAGAAAAACAAAAGCTATTGTTTTTAAGCCTATGGTAAAAACAAGCAAAAATTTTATAAACAATCTAACCTACTATGTAAACAGAAAAAGTATCTTTTTTAAGATTCTATGATGAGAATGTAAAACAATTAATACCTAAGTATTGCTTCTGCAAATCTGGATTCTTCCAGAGGCCTGTTGTAAAAATTTATAAAAGCTTTCCACAGAATGTCTCCTGGAATAAGGCAGAAAATCTAGCAGTACCTATTTATCTGCGTCGCTGCTTTATCTTTCTTAAAACAATTTGATGTATGGTTTAGGTTCCCACTTTTAGTATGGTGGTAAACTGGCAATTAATAAAAATTCCTAGTTTTCCTGATTTAAGCTTTTCATTAATTAATATAGGTACTCTACCGTTTATGTACGATGCTCTAGCGGAGTAGTAGCGATGTAGATCCTAGAAGATTTTCTACGAGATATTACCAACTCCAACAAATCTTACAAGTTTTAGAATCTTTCTGTTTTGATGAGCACTGGAATTAATATTTGGATCAAACCTGTGATTACGATATTTTGTATTTTATTAGTTTGTTTGCATAGCCAGTTATTATCAGGGAAATTAAGATTGTGGTCTTTTGGACTAACTGTTCCAGTGACAACTGTTCTGGTAAATTATTCAAATAATCCAACACTTTTCAAAGATTTCAAGAAAAATTATAACGTGATTTTGTAGGCCTTAACTTAGACATACCTTTTTGTGGAGCATTTTACATTTATATCGGCTCCAATATGTTAGCTTTTAGGTATTAGTAAAATATATTACTAACTACACTAACGAAAGCTTGTTCGTATAGCCAGCTGCGTTTTGTACAAAATTTATTACTTATTTTCTACAAGAATAATTCCACAGGCCAGACCGCCATGCCCTAAGGGGGCAACTGTATTGTAAAATATTTTTTGATAGTGAGTTTAGCATTGTATCACCTAGGCCTACCTCGAGTATATTTTTTAGACTAAATCCTTGTTGGATAGTTTCTCCAATCGGTCGCCGATATGTGGGTGTGCGATTATCTCAAAAGATGTTACTGTTAGAAACCAGGGTTGTGTTGGCCAGTAAGAGACAATCATTATTCCAGAAGACTTATTAATGATAATTTTTCTTAGTACTTAAGACTATTGGAAAAGGAGGAAATGCATAGGTTTTTATATATATTCTCTCAAAATATGGCGAAAATACGTCTATTGCGACTGGCTCTGGATCTCGTGATTGTCATATTTTTTAAGTTTTCGGTTTAAGTTGGATACAAATATATTTCTAGGTATAGTAGAGGAGTTCCATCTTTTCTTGTTACGTATTTTATTAAATACTGACTTATCTAACTCCCATATTGTTTCCAAAGAAGTCTGACACGTGACCCCTATCTGCTTTATTTTCTACTGAACAAATATAGGTATATGAAATGTAAGTAGAAAAGATGCGCATATAAGTACACTATGCTTGAATCCAGTAATTTTTTGATTCACACCAGCTCCAAATCTTTAGCAAATATTATAATATATTTATTGTATTAAGTCAATAGAAAATGTATTTTTTATGGTAAATAAATATTATTATAACTTCATCCAGATATTTATGATTTATAGATACCTACTGTCCTTTTTTGTTTACTTACAAAAATATATATAAAGTGGTAGTGGTTATCACACCTCACGAATATATTTGCAAAATTACAATTTTGAGCAAGACATTTTTGGGGCATAATAGAATGCAACAAACTATAAATGATTACAATATGATATTCATATTATTAATAATTGTTATCTTATTCTTCTCCTAGAGCTAAAACTTTTTCTTTTTCTAAAGACTTGATGTATAAACGACTATATAGGTATTTTTCAGCTGGCATAGCAGATACCAGGAGTTCAATAACAGGAGCAAAAAGCCTTATTTTTCATTATTTACTTTTGTGACTGCTTTGAAACTAATCATTTTCTTTTCTTCGGCTAGTAGGTACAATCGACATAAGATTTTCAGTATTTAAAACAGTGAAGGCTAACCCTAAAAAATTTATGTTTGCTAGGAACTAAACTAAGTACTTTTTTGAAGTTCATTGTGAATCCAAGATTTTTCAAGTTTCCTATTATAATTTTAGTTTGTAAAGCATATAATTCTGAATTCGCCATTATTAGACCATCGTCTAAGTA